TGCCCTGAGTTACTTCCTCAACCCTTTGGCTTTTTAAAGTTTTTGAGATAGAGTCTCTTGGTCTTTTTGCTTTGCAAGGATTCTATCAGGACTGCTGTGAAGATGATACACAGGCATTTTTCCCCCACAAAGCCCTCCTTGGCTCAGTCTTCTCTTACTTCCTTTAGGCACTTTCCCCCTGCTCTTAACACTGTACCTTCCAATTGAACCCCCAAAGCTGGTAAGACTTTTGTTGGGGTGCTAGGAATACAGAGATCAAAGACACAGTCCTTGTTCTGAAGTAGTTCACAGAAAATATGTATGATTCCTCAGGATGCTGCGGAGTATGAAAGATACCTAAGGCTACCTAGCAGACTTGGAGGAGAGAGACTGAAGAGAGAATGGGGCTGCTGGAAAGCAGGTGAGAGGAGGCGGGAATCTTACCACTGCCTCTCGCTCCCCTTTGACCCTGGTAATTGATGCCCTGGCCTCATGCATGTTACATGTTCTCTACTTCTGAGCTGCACCTCTGCCCCAGGATTCTGACTCTTGATCCTAATCTCTGGAAGAAGTAAGGACTCACCTGATTAGGGAGCCCTGTATGTGTGTGCACAGGCATGCACATGCTCGTGCTTTCTACACAAGATAACAAGGAGGAGAGGGAGTGGCCTGTGCTGGGAATTGCAGTGCGTAATTTAGCAAGGCTGTGTGCAAGGTAGGAAAAGGTGAAGCCGAGAAGCCATGTGTGAATGATGGGCAGGGCGAGCCGTTTTCATTTTTCCTGAAAAGGGTTTGAAGTCATGGGAGGATTTCCAGGTCTCTGCCAAGGTTCTCCTGGCAGCGATGTAGAGGAAGGATGGATGTGGGAAATGGCACGGGGACGGTGGTGTCCGAGTTCAGACCTCAGCAGAGCAATCAGGAGACTGCTGTGGTGCCCAGGCCAGCCCTAGGCTTGAGTAGCACAGTGAGGTTGGAGAGGAGTGGGAAACAAGATGTATTTTGGCAGACAGATAAACAAACAGGAGCAAATGAAACTAATCTCAGAAATAAAACTTCTATATGTCACCCCTGAAAAGAATCATATTTACCTACACTTGTTAGGTACTGCACTATCAGTATATAATGCAGCAGAATAAAATCAGCATACTTTAAAAGTTCTATCTTTAAACTGGCAAATAACAACAGAATATATTCATGATGCACAGTGTGGCATTTGATATACATTATGGAGTGAAATTCAGTACTGTGGCTGTGTACTATACCCAGCACATACTGACTTCAGGCTGTGCTATCTGACTTGCTTTCCTGAAGCTAAAGGTGTGGGTTGATTTCCACAGACCTGATTGGTACTCACTCCATTTGCTGGCTGCAGACTGAAAATTATGCTACCTTTTATAAGACTGGTTCAAGAGTGTGTATACATTGGGCGGGAGGGGACGATGCCGTGAAAGGTCACCTCTCTTCCAAAGCACCACGTGCAAAGATGACTGCTGGCATCACCCTGAAAGGAGGCACAGATTCGAAGTCTGTTTATGTTTACAATGGTGAGCGCTGTCTTCCTGGGCTCAGTGACAGCAAAATATGAAGCAATAATATGAAACACAAGGAGATCAGGCAGCTGAAGGGCTTAGATCAGACTGGAGGAACAGTTTTCCCTTTAGAAAAGGTACTCAAAACAATCTCAGGTCACAAATATTTTCCCTGGAAAAAACTGTTAGCGTACACTGCTCTGGTTTATATTTATCTATTTGCCCAAGAGCTTCTGGCTCATAGGTGGGGCTTCTGGAAGGTGACTGATCATGGGGATTGGGAGTTGACTGGCTGTTAGGACGTGGGTTTGGCTGGATTAGAGAGACTGGAGGCTGGTGGAAGGGTTTATCCCCCTGTCCAGCTCCTCCCATGAGGTAAGCAGCTCTTCTCCTGCCAAACCCTCCCACGATGCCATCCTGCCTGGAAGCCAGCAGATCAGGGACTGAAACCTGAGACAAAATAAGCTTCTCTTTTTTGGGGGGTTAGGAACCAAGTGTCTCGTCCCAGCAAGGAGGACACTCAGATGTAAGGGTGCAGCTCTGTGACACCAAGTGCCTCCCATTACTGAACAACTCTCCCCACCTCCTCCTCCGCCTCTGGACCCTTTACTCCATCCTGCTCCCTCCCCCAGCACCCACAGACCACCATCGGGCTTTCTGTCCCAAGAATTCACTCCAGATACCGCACATAAAATGGACTCCTGGCCTGTTTATCTTTTGGTGCCTGGCTTATTTCACTTGGCAGAATGTTTTCAAGGCCTATTCATGTAGCAGTGCATGCCAGACTTTCCTCCCTTTCTAAGGAGGAGCCGTGGTCCACGCTTGTGTACACTGCACTGGGTTTATCTGTGCTTCTGCCGTTGGGCCTGTGGGTCACTTCCACCTCTTCACTGCAGAACACAGTGCTGCTACAAGCACAGGTGCATGGGTGTCTGTGGGAACCACCATTCATGCTTTCAGGTACACTCGAAAGCGGCACCAGGCAGTAATTCTGTGCTTAGTTTTCTTAAGAACTCCCGTACTGTCACATTGGCTGTGCCATTTTATATTCCCATAGGTGGCACAAGAGAATTTTAAAAATATAATTCTGCGGGGGGTTTCGAACTTCTTTTCTCCAGACTTAGCATTTACTCACTTTGCTATGGAATCCATTAGCTTTTTTTGCTTATATTGATGGTGTTTAGTGTCTCTTTTTGTTATCTCCTTTTGTTTAAGTGTAAGTAATTTCAGCGGATGGCTTTCCAAAAACTGAAGGGCACTGTGACAGCTCCACTTGCTCTCAATATGCAGTCCATCACATTGTGTCTCTGTCTTACTATATGGTTACACTGTCACTTTCTCTCCTTATCTTGTTTAGTGTTCTCACATTTTAAATTAATGATAAAATAACCCATTCATTCTCATATCCATATATTCAAAATTTAGTGAGCATCTACTATGTACATCAAATGGTCACTCATCAGGGGCATGAGTTGGAAAGAAGAAAACAGAAACAGAAGCAGAGTGGACAATGGTAAGTGGGAGAGCGGATAAGCATTAGTGACTGGGCAGTGGCAAGTGGTGGCTGATGAGACTTAGCAGAGGCCCTGGGCTTGTGATGGTGGGGCTCAGACCATGTCCAAGGACTGACAGGAGGAAAGAGGTCATTAAAGAAAGAAGTTTTCTACGTCAGTTTCCCCCGACCTGACCCTGATTGAATTCATGTCAGAGCCACCAGTGTTGAATTTGTCAATTCCAAAATAAAATAAAACAAAACAAAATGTTTATTTTCAAATCTACAGCATTCAGCACATCTTCCATAGGATTATTAAAATGATTATTCTGACATGGAATTTTACCTATAACTCCATTTAACTCTTTGATAGGAACTGATAATTCAAACTGGAATGACAGACACTCAACTTGGAAAAAGATCACCTTTCTGACCACAATTTGTAAAGGAGAAAACCAACATCATAGAATTGTGCTGAGCCTCCCAAATTTCACAGCTCATAATTTTAAGTAGCAAGTACTGGGAACCTGACTAAGGGCCCTGATTGCCTGTGTTAAGGGTATAGTGCGATGATAAACTTAAAAAACAGAGACAAATGCAGTATACATGATGTGACTGGGAAGTCAACATCTCCAGATGGGCCCAGAGCGATACTCCAAGAAGGCCACTGTTTGTTGGGGGTACACAATGATGGGGGGCAAGTGAAGGTTTCAAATTTGGCAGAAGACTAGAGGTTTATAGCTAGTGGGCAAGCAGAATCCTAGGATGACTCAAGAGGGTGGAAATGATCTTATGCTAAGAAGGATCTTGCCCTAGTGATCTTAGTTTTAGTCTTAGTGGGAGGGAGAGGATAGCTTGTCCCTACAGAGTTAATGGAAAATCTGACATGGGTGACACCGACCATCCCAGACCTCCATTTATCCCTTAGAAAAGCATGCAAAATTAGCCATAGTGAATTTGTGGTCCCCAACAAGCAAGGTCAGTAAAGAACTCAGATCTTTTGATTCATTTCTACTCCCTGCTATGGCCATATTTCCATCAGAATGAGCTAATCAGAGAAAAAAGTTGTGAACTACTGTCATTTATATTCCTCAGAACTTGTATGCAAACAAAAATCTCCATAAGTTTCTCCCATGTTCCTCAATTTAAGCTGACAACCTGTGATTATCTCACATGTAGGACAGATTAGTAAGCAACCTCACCTTCCTCATCTGTGACCACAGCCCCAATTCACTGCAAATGGCAAGAAAAATCAACAAAGATGAGGTTTGGAATGTGAAAGAAAATTCAGAGAAGGTATAAAGCCTGTGGCTTTACAGCCTTACCCATTCAAAATTTCACCTACTATAAAACACGGCTTATCAAATTTGCAACGTGTAATCAGGCTGAACCCGACTGTTATATCTCACCTTTCCTACAAAAGTACACATGAGGGTGTGGTGTGTGTCTGCCTCCTTATCACAAAATGTTAATGTTCCACAATCCTTTTTTCCATTGTATTTAAAGGCATGAAGAATATGAAATGTGTGTTTCTCCTTAAGAAGAAACCATGACTTCCTCAGAAATTAGCCCAAAGCAAATGTGCTCAGAATTCGTGATGTTTAGACTGTGCTTATTCCTCAAAGCCCAGGCGAAGTCTGCAGAATAATTTGTAGTATGGAGTAAACAAGCCCAGTAGACAGTAATTTGTTATGAAAGACAGTGTTTTAGAACGTGAACTGTTCTGCTTATGGGCAAGGGCGAAGCCATTTCCCTCCCTTCTCTTTCTCTCTCACCTCCCCCTCCTCACTCTCTTCCTGCAAGATTCTTGGCAGAGACTGAATGTTCATGTGGACCAACTTCAGTCGTGAACGCAGTGTCCAGGGAGGCGCCTGGTACTCTCAGGTTAGCAATTATTGATTGGGAGATGGTTTGCGAGGCTTGCCTTGACAGCTGCTAGCTGGCATGCAAATATTTAATTCCAGCCTCCAGAGCACTCTCATCAGTCCAATGATTCTTACCTGCAGTCTTTCGAACTTGTGAAAACATGTCACTGTTTACTCCTCAAAATGAAGTCATTTTAGGCATCGAACCAGGTTGGACTCTTGGGTATCTCTCAATTTTCTCCCCCTGAAATAATTTTTCTTCTCTGCATTTATTTTGAGGACTCGATCCTGTTTTGAGGAAGGGAAGTGGAAAGTGTTCAGAGAAAGCGGGAGGTCTTAGTCAGTAAAATGCACTGATTCATTCTGAAAAATGGTGACTGGAAATTAATCACTACTCCTGTAGACAGGGATGGGAACCGGACACTAATCAGCTTGACACCTCTTCAAATCCTGTGAAAATAGCTCTGTGAGCATGATATGAACCAACGAGGCTTTTCTTTAGGAAGAGGATCAGACTCAAATTCTTTCCTTTCTGGGCAGCTTAATTGCACAAACTTTATGCTAATTATTGTTGTGTTACAGATCTGGCAGCTTCACAAAAATCTTAGAAGCATGTTCCTGCAGGTTCAGAAGCTGTGTTTCAATGGCCCAAAGTCAGGCATTTCAGACAATGCCAGCCTGACACTTGCTTTTTTTCTTTTTTTTAAACTACGAGTAGCTTATAATTTATAGTTTCACGGGAATTTGCTTAATGTAGACCTGATTAGTTGCCTGCCCTCCAAAACCTGTGTTCCTTGGATGGGCAGCTTTCTGAGGCCTGAGGAGACCTGTTTTGCCAGTGGGCGTGGTCCCTGCCCTTGGTATAAATTCTGTTCATGGGAGACCTTCAGCGACCAGCACTCACAGTAGAGTGAGGCGTCACAGGTTATAACGGTGTGAGACAGACAGTAAACAGTACAGACACTAAGTCAGCATTCCCATGGACTCAGGGGCGCTGGAAAGATTTACATAACCTTTCTATTGGTTCGGAAAGGTTTGGAAGTGCCTGTAAGCAAAGGGCATTTGACTTGGAAGCAGGCACTTACACAAAGTGAGTGATAACTGAGATGAGGCGGACTGGTCGATAGTATAGTAATAATCAGAGCATGGCCTAAGGGTAAGCTGGCGAGGAAGGAGAGTTCAGGAGAACTCGCCTCCAGCTGTCACTGGTGAGGGACAGGTGGCATCTATCTCAATCCTGTGCTAACATGGTCTAAATAGGCGGTAACCTCTCGGAGGTCCACAGCAGGGTGAATGCAGTCACATTCCGCATTTCTTTTCTGAGATCTGTCTGTGGCGAAGACAGATCTTCACATTTTCACTGTAAAAAACAGTGATATCATTTTCCATGAGGGTTACAAGCCAGACATGTTACTTACTGGTAGTCACAGAGGTGTAAGGGAGTGGGGAGCCAGGTCATGCTGATATCACCGGCCCATGGCAGGATCCCGACACAGAGTCTGGGCATGGGGTGCTGTGCCTTCTCCCACCATGCCCCTGCTCCTCTGCAGCGACTCAGAGCTGGTGGTGAGGGGCTCAGGAAGGTCGGTGGAGGGAACCCGGGACATGTTGTGCTGCCTTTGGCAGTGGAGCGGTCGTCTCTTCTCTTGATGGCTGCAGTGACGGGAAAGGGATTGAGTTTCAGTTGCGCTCTTGGATCTGAAACTAGGTCAGAAAATTTCTGGTAAAGCAAAATTCACATATTTTATTTACTCCTATACTTACTAAATTTTCCAAGGCATAGAAGAAAACAAATAAAGTGATCGGTAAGATTCTAGAACACGGTCAAATGGTCTCTTAATGCCTTATTTTCCTGGAACTATTAGAAACCCTTACTCTCCATTTAAAAAACAAATTCGCCAAGAAAAATACCTTTTGTATCTTCAGGACTGAAAGAGTAATTAGAGACAAGAGGAGAATACTGAGTTGACATGTTTACTGGCACTTCAAGCAGATTTCAGTACTGTAAAATTACCATGGGGGGTGTTTTTTCTCAGACTTCAAGGTGATGAAGATGATTATAAGCCAAGTTCTGTTGCTCAGGGATTTGCTGACATCTAATGCCTTTCTCTTCCAGTGAATATGAGGGTGACATAGTTGAGTTAATAAAGGATCTGAGGAGGATGTGGCCCTGAGCCATGCTTTTATTCCCATCATATTTTCACAGTCGAACTCTGGCTCCCCACCCACACAGCCTGCCTCTCCGGTCACCATTATGAATCTAACCTGAGTCACACCATTCTTCTCCAAAGGACCACACCTTGGAGGAGGGCAGCAGTGAATAACAGCAGTGAGTCAGTCACTTTTGCTTCTCTAGTTCTTAATGGAGTTGACAGAATGTCAGATCTGTAGAGCAAAAGGATGGGGTCTTCAGGGGGACGGGAGTTCTCCGGGTTTGTTCAATACGTCACCCTGAATACCGGCAGACAAGAGCACTAGTTGCTGATTATCACACTAGTAACATTGACCCTCCCCATATCTCCAAGTTCCAAGCAATTATCCTACTCGGTGAGGCAACCTTTTAGGGATGTATTGTGACCAAGTCAAGATCTTTTTCATTTTGGGGTTGAAACACGCAATCCTTTCTTGCTTAATTTAGCTAAAGAATATTAAACAGTTAACTGCAGAGGCTACCACTTGTTAACAAAATTTTCAGTAGTTTTTATAGGTACACTAATAACACATTTTGGAATTCATACTAGATCTGTAGGTAACAAAGAAAGAGTATTTCAATTATTCTCAAAGGGAAGTCCATGAAATAACAGTACTAAAATACCTGCATAGTGTGGATAGGTCTATAAGGACAATTGGAGGGGCTGGGGATTTAGCTCAGTGGCATAAGTGCCTGCCTGCCTGGCAAGCATGAGGTTGTGAGTTTGATCCGTGGTACCAAAAAAAACAAGAACAATTGGAATTTAGGGCAAGAGAAACCTAGAGAAGAGATTTTCAAGGTAATTTTCAGCCTATACACAAATAAGAAAAATGTAAGATACATTGTGAGTCAGTTAAGAAAAGTCAGCAGTTTTTCTTCTGTTACAAACCTGAATTTAATTTGTTCCATAGGTACTATAAATGAACTTAATCATGAAGTTTATGAAGTTTCTCACTGAGTGGATTTTTTTTTTCTTTTTTGAGACAGGATCTCGCTACGTGGCCCAGGCTGGCCTCAAACTCATGGCAGTCCTCCAGCCCCAGCCTCCCAAGTGCTGGGATTACAGGGCATGCACCATCACACAGTGAATTTTAATCTTGGTTTCAAAAGAAGTGTTTATCTCTTTAATTGTTTAAAAAATACCTATAACACTAGCTATATCTACATGAGACAAAAATTATTATTAATACAGAAAAAAATATGGAACAGAATTTAGATCACAGTGAAATTATTTTCAAGATTTTAAAAAGTAAGGCTAAAACTGGAAATGTTAAAAAGAACTAAACCTGAAATGAAAATTTTGTGACTTGAAAGGTATACTGTATGCACACGGGTAGGGAGAGAGGGAGACAGAGAAACATACTGACGATTGTTTTCCTTCCATTTGAAATAATAAAAAAGCCTCATAAAGTTTTTTAGGTTTATGTCATTGTCCCACAGATAATAATCATAGAAAAAATGGAAGAAGCATCTTACCACTCCCTGGTGAGTAACACAGTGGCCAACAGGAGCTTTAAGTAGTAAAGAAATTTTAAAACACACATAGAGTGACTTGGGTTGGTATCACTTACCATTATGGTTGAATTCTAGGGTTTTAATTATTTTCTAGAGTAGGATAAGGAATCTGGTTTCTGGTTTATTGGGGCAGGACAGTATTTTCTCCTGCCTGAAAGTTTTATATGAAACATACAACATCCTGTTTCACAAACATCAAACTTTTAAGTGTTATAGTCTGCCTGGTGAGTTCTTCTCTGGACCCAGAAAGAATTACAAGATAGAGATTCAAAAGGGGACTCAGTGAAAGTGTTTGATTGTAGAGTGAAAGCAGAAAGCAGCGTTTACTGTAAAGCAAAAGCAATTAGTCCTCAGGTTGTTAACCTGGGAGCCTAAGAAGGGTTGCCAGGAAGGACTTTTTTTTTGTCTAGGGGTTTTCATGCATGAAAACAACTACATCTCAGCCAAAGGAGATCAACGAATGGAAAAGGTTGATGGCTAAGTGGGTCTGTAGGAACTTAGGGGATGTAGGGGCATACTCTAAGCTACAATAATACTAACTTTAAACAGAACAAAGACATCCTTTAGATAGGTATGAATATCTTATTTCTGGGCAAGAAAATCCCACCAATCTAATGAGATCTTTGTTAACAGATCCTCCCAGTGTCCTGGCCTTGGTCATCTATGTGTCCTTCTCTGAATTTTTCTGACTCCCTCTTTGGCTCAGCCTCTTCCAGGTGGCCTGGCTGCCAGTTCTGCCTGCTGACCTCCTTTTGCCAGAATACTTTCCACATCCTCCTCCCCTTATTATAGGCACCTGGGTTAGAAAGAAATAATTGTACAGAGAGGGCTGGGCTCTCAAGGAAGTTAGTGAAAAATAAAGTCACCAGGATTGAGGCTGGAGGGCCATGTGAAGGAAGGCCAGGTCTCAAGACCGAGATGCAATGGCCAGGCCTGCACTCCTCTCTAATGTATACATGGTAACTTGGAATTATTTTGTAATCAGCATCACCCGATCCAGTCAGTCCAAGAGGCATCAATGGTGCCTGAGCAGAGCATCTGGACCATCCCTTCCCATAATGCTTTGTTCTTCCCATGTATCCCTGCTCTGTGACTTGGTTCCCTATTGGAATAGTGACACTTAATCCTGTAAGTTTATAGTTGGACACACACTGTGACTTTGCTGTGTGAACTACTCCTGATAAAGGACCTCGGTAAATCCACTGGGGACCCCTCCTGTCTCTCAAGACCTCAATCTCTCTCTCAATAAACTTTTCCTACTCTTAAACTCTGCTGTTCCTTAAAATTCATTCTTCAATTTTTGGGGACACAAACTTGACACATCTGACATCTAGCAGGTTGGGAGCTGTAGGTCTCCCACATCACCTTCCTAGGCCAGTATCCCTCCAAGAAACCTCATCTTCCCACAGGGCCCTGCTCATCCGCAGTGGTTACTGTGGGAAGCCTCGTTAGGTTAGGAAAATGACACCCAAATCTTAGGAGATGGAACCTAAGCCCAACCGTCCCGTGGTTCTTCTCCTCAGTCTCTCGTTGTCTTTCTGCTTCAACAGGCAAGTAGATTTCAGCTCACTAAAGAGATGGAAATGTTTGCTAGGCTTTATCTAAAGTTACATGAAAACTGTAACTGGGGATTTAGTCAGCAGCATAAGCTTGGCAAATGTAAGGTTATGAGTTTGATTCCTAGTACCCCCGCCAAAAAAAAAAAACCCCAAACCCCAAAAACTATAGGTGCAATTTATATTCTGGGTCACTTTTTAGTAAACTGACAGTGAAGAGTAGGTTTCCAATTTGGTATGTGACAGAAGTAGAACACAAACTTACATATAGGGAGATCCTTGAATACTAACTACTGGAAGTCAGACCTGTAGGGCAACAAATGCATGCTTTTGAAATACAGGTGTTTCTGAGTACTTGTTTCCAAAATTCTTTGCAAACTGGGCCAAATAGTCCCATTTTAATATGCCAATTTACAGAAGAAGCAAGTCAGAACATTTCCAAGTGGCCCTTTTCCTTCAGGTAGCCAGCAAAAAAACAGCTTGAAGCATAGGTTGTAGGATAAAAGGATAGGGGAGCAGCTGATTTTAGGGACTCATAAAAACACCTCACCCTTCTGCCCCGAGGTATAAAGAATCTGCAGAGTCTGCATTGTGCTTCTATTGACATGACACATCGTCCTGCTTTTTTTCAGTGAGTTTAACTCATGCCAGGGGATAAGAAAACAACAATGTCATGTTTGAGATCTGTGGCTTGATAAAGTGACCAGCACCTGTATTACAACAATATGAACTCTTCCTTGACGTTGTAAATTCTTTGAGGTTAATGTATATATTTTTCTTTAAAATTTAGGAGAGGAATATGCATTACTAATTATATGTGGAAGTACCAAGTTCTTTGCTACCTAACAGTTCAAATTGGAATTTTCTAGATCATAGCATCTTTATTTATTTATTTTGGTACTGGGGATCGAACTCACAACCTTGCGCGTGCCAGGCAAATCATAGTATCTTTAAAAACATTTTTTGGTGGGGAGAGATATACAGAGAAATAATTTGTATACCACATTTACTAGGAAATTGTAAATATGAAGTGTGACCAAAATATACAGTGAATGTTTAAAAATGTATTAAAGGAAAAAATTGCCATTAACTCCTGCTCAAAATAGTTTCCCTTGCTGTGATCACATTCATCCCCTTGTTCCAACCACTTTCTGAAGCAGTTCTGAAGGTCCTCTTTTGTATCTTTCCAAAGTGTAATACTTTGGTGAATGCTCCTACCCAGTGCCAAAGAACAGGAAGGCAGTCTCATAAAAATATGGTGTGTCTTCATCTACCTTATTATTCACCAGATCTGGGCCATGTGGCTTGTGGCTCTTTTCCAAAGTCAAAATGACCATGAAAGGTAAACATTTTGAATTCATTCAGGACATCAAAGCAGCCACAGCAGTGCAACTATAGACACTCATGAAATGCTGTTACAGGATTTTGGGGTGCTGAAGTTTCCTTCTAGAGGTGGTCTTTAGGTTCTTTGTATCCTGAACAAAAATCCATCAAGATAAGCACAAAAGGTAGTGAGGTTTTACAATTATTATTGTATGAAAAAAAAAAAAAAGAAAAAGAAACATGCTCTTCAGAGAGAAGTGCAGACCAATTAAAAATAAGAATGGGGTGAGTAGAGGGAAGAAAAGTACTCCACACACGATAAGCGCTGACCACTGTGAAAGAGCACAAGGAAACTGTCGGCCATCTTTTGTGCCTCCCGTTTCTCTGGGTGACGTGGTCTAGGCTATTCTATCAAAATTCTGCTTGGGTTCTCTGAGATCTTAAGACAGCACTCCCTGGTTCCACATGCAGGCCTCTGGGAATTGTTCTGCCCATTTGTCCTGGAATTTTGGGATAGGCAGATCACTCCTCACTTCCCCTGCCAGTTTGCCATGCCCTGATCACCTGTCTCAAGAAGACTTCTAGAACTGCTTCAGAAAGTGGGACGTGTATACAAAGGAAGGGAGACTAATGGCATTGTTTTTTATTGTAATGAAAAAAATTTTTAAAGCATTCTCTGGATTTTTAGGCCACACTGCACGTGTTTGTAATGATTTACTTTCTAGATAGCTACCAATGTTGCAGCTGCTTCTCATGAATTAATTTTCCAATTTTATAGATGAGGAGACGTAAGCACAAAGACCCTCCATTATCAAACAGATAAAATTTGGTGCCAGAACTTGAACATAGAAAACTCTAAATCACTGTGTTCAGGTTCTGCATTTATACATAGAATTACTTTCCTCTGGCTGTTTCTAAACCAACGGTTATCAGCAGTTCATAAAAAGTGGAGACATTTCACAAGGCCAATGAGAAGGCTGCCACGCTGGCCTGTGTAATTCCCGATTTGCACATTAGTCAGGTGTTACTTAGCAGCCTCCTCCAGGCCTTCCCCGAGGTGAGGTCTACTCTGATCGCCACATCAAAAGCGAGGGCTGATTCTAGACTAAAGATGCTCTCTTTTCAGGCTCTGCAGCGGGCCGTCACCACCGCAAGCCATCTCAACTTGGGACACTCTCAGCCATGGTTAGCAGTGTCTCCTGAGCCACAACACATTCTGTGGGCTACATTTGCTACAGATTTGACTAACAAATGCAAGGCTACACCAAGGGACCTGAGCTGCAGGGTGGATAGGACCGAACCACAAATTAGCGTCTCTGCGGAAATGCCTAACAAGCCCGCCGCCAGCACCGCCCTTCCGGGTTCGCGCCCGCCCACCGCTCACAGTCGCGCTGCTTCCGAGTTGGTGGGCGGGGCACGCCTGCGCAATGCGGCGTGGGAGAAAAACTGGGGCGGGCGCTCTTGGGGACCCCAAACCGGGACGCAGAAAGAGGCGTCTGAGAACGTAGCGAAAGGCGTTGCGGTCGGTGGCACGTCCCCGCCAAAGTCGGTTTGTCTTTCTCAAGCTCAGTCCCACCTTTCTAATGCCACTCTGGCCCTTGCAGTCCCTCGTTGAGCCCCGCGGCTCTCGAGCGATGGGCAGAGCAGAGTCGTGCACGACAGTCAAGCACACCAATCCCACTTCTCCGCTCTCATCCGCCTCCCCCCTGCGGTCTCCGTCGCTTTCAGCGCGGGGCGGGCAGAGCAGCGCGCGCGCGCGCGCCTTGACCAATCGCGCGTCTCTCTGCCTTCTTCGTGCCTGAAGCCCCGCCTCCGGAATAGGGTTGGTTTACTCGCGCGCTTTTTAAGCGTACTAGGGTGGGCGCAATTCTCCCGGCGCGGAGACGTCCGTGAGGTCCGTGTTAGTGCTATAAAGAATCTTGTGGCGCTTCCCTTCTGTGGTCAGAAAGACTTGGTCCCGCCTCCGCCGTGGGGCCGCTGCCTAGCTCCCAGCCTTCTGAAGTGGCGGCAAGGCGGGCGGAGTCCTGCCTGTCCTCGTCTCCTTTTCAGCGCGTGGTGATTTAAGTAAAGTGTTACCCGCAGGCCTGAGGTTACAGGTCCTCATTCGTAGGGTGCAGATGCGGGGCCGTCGGGCCCGACGAGGGAGGGTTTGCCGTAGTGAGGGAATTCAAGTAAAAGTGGTTATTCCTCCGCTTTCCCTCACTAATGTAGACTTTGGTGATTTCAGAAATAAAACCAAAGTACTACTAGCAGGTTAACGTGTGTTGAGAGAGACCAGTAGTCTCCGTATGGGAGAGTTCAAGGGAAAACTGCAGGAAGAGCCAGAGCGAAATCGCAGCTTGTCAGAAGTTGCAGGCTTACTGAGGAGGTGTGGCTCAACGATGAAAAATTCTTTGATAAACACTTAAGGACTGTGTCGATGCGTGGTAATTTGATTTGCATTTTTATAATTACTTTTTCTTCTTTTAGAAATAAACCAGGATTTCATTTCCAAGATGGAAAGTCCATCAGACTCGGCCATGGTTGCCCCTAGCACTCCACAGGCCTGTGCGAATCCACCGTCTCTCCACACAGATAGTTCGGGGAAAGCGGTATGATGACCTTGGGTCTTAAGTGGGTCCATTCTGTGCATCTGAGTTTTGTGGCAGTGGTGCTTTTCCGTCTACTAAAGAGTTAATTAATTTTAACATAATGCATAACACCTCTGTCTTTATCCCCCACCCTTCCCAGAAGATTGTCATCTTGAACCACTTCTAGTTTCAGCTCAGGTTGTTGTAATAATCTAAACTGAGGAAGTGTGGATCTGTGTACTGGCCATCAGGAAGCTTGGTGGCAGTAGGCCTATCTTCAGTCTGCAAGTCTGAAGCACTTAGAGTCGTGTCAGTCAAATGCTAGTTGCTAAACAAATATCCATGATTACTGGGATGAATGTCTCAGCACTGTTTAGAATGGTATTTACTAAGAAAATGGAACTATTGGAGTGACATTTTATGACACTTGCTTTAGATATATAAACATCTAAAAAAGCCATCTAGTGTAAGGCCTTTATTTCTAGGGGATTTATTTACATTAGCCATATTTGTCTTAATTAATATTTTTAATGTTTTATGCTCTTTTCAGCCCATGAGTGCAACACTTAGAGACAGATTGAGGAAGACAAGATTTTCATTTAATTCCTGTTGCAGTGTAGTAAAACGTCTTAAAACAGAGAATGAAGAAAATGATCACATCTTTTCAGAGAAACCAGAATCTTCAACAGAAAAAGACTGTTTGAAGTTTCAAGAAAGTTGTGAACACATAGATAGTGAACCTGAAGAACATACATATTTGAAAAATACTCTCCAGAATACCAGTGAATCTAAGTCACTTGATACTGGGTCATATGGTGTTCTGCAAAATGATTTTGTGAATGAGAATTTTAAACAAGGATTAAAGGAAGAAAAAGCAAAATTGGTGAAGCAGGTAGAGGAGAAGGAAGACCTCCTTCGGAGGCTAAAACTAGTCAAAATGTATAGATCAAAGGTGAGAAGAGTTTTGAAACTTGGTATTTTAAAATTTTTACATAAATTGTGGGGAAGTAATTTCAAAAGTAGGAAATAAATTTCTTTTAGCATTACAGTAAAGCAGTAAACCAAATATCCACAAACCTGGTTTCCCACTTTAACTGAAATGTAAGTCATAGATTTAGATAGAGTTGATTAAGAGACCTGTCAGTATCAGATAAAACTTTTTAAAGTCCCAGCTTTTATATAATATACAGTTGAAGCTTTTCTGTTGTTTTTAGCCCATAGCAGTATTAGTATAGGTTATTAGCTGTGAATACAACAGAAACAGAAATGACAGCTGACAGTAAAACTAAAAATGTACTAGAGTACAGTAAAAAGTATTTTTAATAATGATCTTGTCTCTAATTAAAATATCTTAGGCATTTTGAGAAAACAATGAATGTATATTAGATTTTAGATTTAAACCAAATTGATTAAGTGAAACAGAACTTGGGTGTTTGGAAGGGAATAATTTCTGTTTCCTGGATAATTCATGCTTGTTCTTCCCCAGCAGTGTGGAATAAATGACAGAATATTTTGCTGGTTTGTGTTTTTAGGATTTTTCAAACATGATTTATTTATGAGATTGCATGTCAGTCATATTTCTAATTTCAATACTGTCATTTTTTAGAGCAGTTTTAGGTTCACAGCATAACTGAATGGAAGGTATGATACGGTCTCATTTTAAAAGCACAACTGAATGAAAAGTAGATTTTTGAAATCTTTATTATTGCTCCTTTACCTCGTTTTGCTGTACTTAATAATTAGAGCTTTCTCTTGAGAGTTAGTTTGTCCCAGAGTTTGGATAAACAGAATGGCAGTAGAACTCAAGTTGAGTGACATTTGTAACCTTTCTATTTATACCCATTCTGTTTTTTCATAGGTAGAAGTTCCATTCATTCCCAGGAGTGTTAGCCTTTAAAACTACACAAACTGATTGGACAGCTTTGATTGAGTTAAGCATGTCTATCTGGTTATTGATATAAATTGTTTTTTTCTGTTTCAGAATGACCTGTCACAGTTACAACTGTTGATAAAAAAGTGGAGAAGCTGCAGCCAGCTGTTGCTTTATGAGTTGCAGTCAGCTATGTCTGCAGAGAACAAGAAACTAAGCCTTACTCAATTGATAGACTACCATGGGTTAGATGATCAATTGCTACACTATAACAGAAGTGAAGAAGAATTTATAGATGTGTAATTCATAACTTTTCCTCAGAATATCTTTTTCTTGCTTTTTTTTTAAACTCCTCCCCCTCCCCCCAGTACTAGGGGATCAAATTAGGCCCCCTTGGGTGTGCTTAACTACTGATCCATACCTCTTTTTTTTTTTTTTTTTTTTTGGTCTTTTTCCTTATCGGTACCAGGGATCGAACTCACGACTGCCTGCTTGCAAGGCAGGCGCTTATGCCGCTGAGCTAAATCCCCAGCCCCCTTTGATCCATACCTCTGGTTCTTCAGCAAATCTTTGAGAATGACAACTTAATGAAAATATACTTAAGACATTGTAAAGAGAAGATGTTAGCCATGAAGGCAGTGGTGGCGAACCTACAGCACATGTGCCACAGCAGGCTGTATCATTGACAGCTCTGAAAGAGTCACCATCAGTGCTTTAGAATATAAAGTATCTTGACCTTAAATTCAGAGTTTAGGACACTGAGTCACATAAATTGTCCTAAAATGAAATACAGCATTTTGAAGAGATTTACCAAGAAAATTTGACATTTAAAGAAATGTTAAAAGTTAGATTTGGTAGCACTTGCCTGTCTCTTATCCCAGCACTCAAGAGACTGACACAGAAGGATGAAAAGTTTAGCCAGCCTTGGCAACTTAGCAAGACCCTCTCCCCAGCCTCCACCCCCTGAAAAAAAGAGGGCTAGGGATATAGCTCAGTGTAAAGGCCCTGGGTTCAAGCTCCGTACATAAACGAATGGATGGGCCAGGGATGTAGTTCTGTATGAAGGCCCCAGTGTGCGCACACACATACAAATTTATAGAATGTTTAAAAAATGGACAGTCCTGGGTACCAGTTTTTATATCTTTTGATTTTTATGGCAGAAAGTCTTATTTTCAGTGTTAAATAGTCCAATCTGGTGAATGCCTAAAACCTAACCCGATCAAAAGTTCTCACCTCTAAACCTTGTTTCCATCTTACCTCTCGTCATCTGCTGATCTCAGATAATTAAACTTATGTCCAAAATTACATTCTTTACTGCCTTCATGTTTTTTCATACTCCTCGTGTATTGAAACAATGACTGTTTCTTAGGCAATGACCTCATTGTCTATATCAAGATATTCTGGCATCCAGGGTCCTTCACATTCCTGCTTTTTTTTCACCTTCATCTGTCAGATAAACAGGAGTTCAGTTCACAGTTTCCTCAGCCAGAAGCCAGAGTATTGACAAGTTCCGTAATTGTAACGGTCACCTTGGCTGTTGGGAGGTACATGACCCACGCTGGCCCAGTCCCTGGGAATTTAGAGCTGAACTCAGGAAGGAAGCCCATTCTGTTTGTGGCTGGAGCTGTGAAACACAAACTTGGAAGCAGCAGTTGGCCTTCAGAAGGTGTAAAGCGCTTTCTGAGGCAGCTGGAGATGGAGGAGCACTCTGCAATCAGCAGTTTTACAGCCGCTACTTTGACTGAGTGTACCTGAGTTTCAGCCTAGTTCCTTCTATTGATGTAACAGCCTTGAGTTTTAGTATGGCAGGGGACCCAAGGGCCCACAGATCCTAATTTCCAGTGTGAGGCAAGCGTGAGGTCATGAGTTTAATCCACAGTACCAAAAAAGAAAAAAGTAATACAAGTGTTAACACCTTAGGTTTAAAGATGAGAAAAATTCAAGATTAAGTAGTTATTTTAAAAACTTAAGTGGTTAAAAAAAAACTAAGTGGGTAAGCTGGGCATGGTATCACTCCTGTCATCCCAGCACTGGAGGCTGAGAAGTCCAAGACCTGCCTGAGCTACAAACAGCTCAAGGCCAGCCTGAACTGCACAGTGAGACCCTGTCTCAGAAAAACCTAAGTGGCAGAGCCAGGATTTGAACCCAGGCAGCCTAGTAACAGCTCATATTTTTTTATTCCTATGTGTAAGACCATGTTACATTGACTTAATTTATATCATTAGTCAGTGCTGTTCAGTAGAAGCTTAGAGGAATCTACCATGAACAGTACTGACAGAAGAGCTGGGGTACGCTGTTCAGCAGAAGCTTGGGGGAATCTACCATGAACAGTACTGACGGAAGAGCTGGGGTACAAGACCCATGTGTCTTTGTACCTGCCAGCCCTCCCCCGCCCCCAGCCAGAAGGTACTTCCTGCTGAAGAGTGTCTTGAGTGTGTGGGTCAGGGGTTCCTGGTGACCTTCTCCACCCACACCTAACGGTGAATTGAGCAGAGTTAATGAAGAAGCAAACAAAACAGGACATTTGGTGTGTTAAGACTGGGGAAGCCAATGAAGTGCCCAGGAGGCACCTTAGGTGATAGGGCACTTGTATTCCAGCCTGGGTAAGGAGGGTCAAGTCGGGGAATCCACAGCTGACAGAACACCTAGCAATCCCAGCTGTAAAGTACTTACACCCCTTATGTATGTTCACCCTTGGCCTGTCTCCCTGCACTCCACAATTCCTGACCCAGAGATAATTTTAAAGATCCCTAGATACAGGAAACATTTAACTAGTGGACATTTTCTTGCTGAATTAGCCAAATTGGCTTTCAGGCATCATTCTAGTCCCGAGGAGGGGCACACATCAAAATGATGTTGGTCTTGACTTTCCCACCCAGCACTGATCTCTGTGAGGGTGCTCAATGAAACCTCGGGCGATTTTTCCTAAGTGGAAGATTTCATAATAGCTCTCTTGCTTTACCTGGACCTTTCTGGACTGGATGTGGTACTGTGGATCAGACTTAACATTTGCTTTATAAATTGCAGAGCTGCAAGGGAGTTCATCCCGGAAGTGATCACTGGCCAGGGATCCCAAAGTTAGCAGCTTACAATGCAGCAGCTCTGAAGGGTGAGGAAGTTTGCTGCTGGTTAGTTTTCTCACTGCATAGTTATCACTGTCTACTGAATGAAACAATGCTTCAGGGAAATAAAGAAGCGCTTTGTTTTTCTAAATTGTATTGTGTAGGGCACAAGATGGAGCTTTATCACAGTAAGAAATGATCAAGTTTTCTAAGTATGTCATAATTTACAAATGATATTAGTCTTGGAAAAAGTAATTTACCTTGTTCTCATTGGTAGAACAAGGATTACTCTTCAAACTTTTAGTAACTTTAAATGAATAAAACAGTCTGGAGCCAGGCAATGTGGCACATGCCTGTAATCTCAGCACACTCTGGGGCTTTTCTCTTTTTTCAGGATGGGGATTGAATCCAGGGTCTTGGACATGTTAGACAAATGCTCTGCCATTGATCCCAGCATGGATACTTTCTTTCCGCTTTAAAATCTGTTCTTTCTTAAATGAAAATAACTCTTTTACACATTTATTTATGCAGGACAAAAATTTATATACTGATTACAAGGCTAAAATTAATTTACTATTAAAAATATGACTAAGAAGAGATCTACTTAAATTTTACAGTATGAAAGAAAGAAAAAGAAACATTTCACCCAAAGGCAGTGAGTTTTGAAATGCCTGGTTTGGCCTTGTGATTTTTGCTGGTGTTTTACAGATTTACAAGAGCAGGGAATGTTTTCATCCTTAATCTTTCAACTTCAGCCTGAAGTACTAAAATCTGCTCAGCTTGTTCTTTTGAAATATTTGTCAGCTTTTGTTGTTTCATCATATTTTTGTATCGTTCTTTGGCAATCTTTTCACAAGTCAGCGTGGACCCTGTTCCAAAAACCAAGAGGCAGGAATTAGTTGGAGTATTACCAACACTTTTAAATACTAAAGCAGCCCCCACAATCAACTGTGTGGAAGAGATGCCCTTAGCTTTATAATTAGTGTGCAGGTTTCAGAAACGCCAGTTATTTTTGAAAAACGTATGTTGGTTAAAGAGAAAGGCTCACCTACTGCATTGCAGATGTCTTGTCTCTCCGAGACAGCTACCAGCTCTTCTCGTAGGTTGCAGCTTAGAGTGTAATTTGCCATGTCTTTTTGATTGCTGAACTTTCCCAATTTTTTGAGCAGTTTTTTGCAGTTATTGACATTCTTTTTGTGGGTCTGAAAATTTTGTTCCCATGAAACCCCCCAAAATAATATTGAAAAAAATGTCATTTATAATGGCATATTCTTATATTTGAAATACATGCCCAACACTAAAGACAACATCTTGTCTCCCAGTGCCTGCCATATGTTCTACCCACAGGAGATGCTCAAATTATTTGTTGAACGATAAAACAGTATGTTAATAAATTTTAGAAAAATTTTTGTATATTCTTAAAAATTAGGGAATGTTTTTAAAAGCTTGAGATTAATTTATTGTCATCTGATGTATGTGTTGTAATAAAACTGAGCATTTGTTATTCAGTTATGATAAGATAAAACCTTTACAATGCCAAGAAAACCCTATCATAAATGTTACATAAATCATAATTCAGTGTCAAATGGGAAATCCCTTTCTAATCACATATCACATATGTCCACAGAGGTTAATGTAAATAGTTTAAAAAGTACTTTGGTCTATGCCTCCAGTTATGGTTGTCTCTAATTACCTCATGAATACCAGTAAATGATCAACATTCTGCTAAGTTCTTTCCAAGTTCATGATTAAGACACTATTATTTTGCTTAAATGATTCACAACTTTTAGCATTATAATTAATATTCTTTGAAACTTACCTTATCTAAAACATTAATGGTTTGCTCCATTATTCCAATCTGAAGAGCAATCAAAGACTCATAGTTTGGTTCATTGAGGTACTTGAAGAGAAAATAATATGGAAGAGTGTTTTTCTCTATTTCTTTCAATAGGTAACTTTTAAAGATTGTTTTGGTTTTTTAAAAAATTACTGGTTTTCATAGCAAATATCTATGTTAGTTAAAACTGGTTTGATTTTCATGCATGTGTACTTGTACTGGCCATCTATACATTCATTGGCCAAATATTACAAATGCCTGGTCTGTTTTCTCATTCATTCATTTATCTCACTGATGATTTATTAAATGTCCCACTTGGGACCTACATTATCAGTGTTCTACTTAAAGATAATGAGGGCTACATTAAGATAGATAACATGACCTACGCTTCAAAGAAAAGGGGAACACACATACAATTAGTTGCCAGAAGAAATGTAAAGTGTTCTCAAATTCAAAGAAAGTTTGTTATAGGGTGGGATTTCTCCCAGCCTGAGAAATCAAGAAAGGATTTACGCAGGAGATGACATTTAAACTAACCCTGAGAAAGCAGGTAGACTTGAGATGTGTGAAACAAAACAGGGAAGGAAGGGGAAGAAGTTGTTGAAAGGGAAGGAGGAAGAAGAAAAAGGAAGTGAAAAGCAAAGGAAAAAGAAAAAGAAGAGGAAGAGGACAAGGAGGAGGAAGAGGAAGAGATGCTCACGAACAAGAGGAAAGGTGGCAAATGAATTTGAGTCTGAAGAGGTAAAGTGAGAGACACTGTCCACTTACGGAATTCATTGTTCTCTTGCTTGTTAAGAAGTATCAGTCAGAAATGTTTGGAATGTTACTAAAGTGAAATGGAAATTAAAATGTGATAGCAGTATAAAATCAAATAGATTAAATATAATTTAAAATTTAGAGAGAGAATATGTAGAAATTAATTTTAAACTGGCTGGGGTGGTGCCTTTTATCCTCAGCTGGTGCTTGAGGGACAGGGAGCTTAGTCCAACATGGAATTGGACTGGAATCCAGAAAGCTAGGACTAGGATTAGGTTTTTAGAATTGATTACTGATGTTGGAAGAACAGATGATCATCAAAGAACAGGACATGGAAAGAAACAGAGTTAAGGCAGAATCTTAAAGAAAGGCTATATTTAAGACTTAGAAGCAAAAAAGTTAAAGAGGTAAAGTGGCCTGACCTGTTGGAAGAGAAATATGAAAAAATAATAATAATAAAAACCAGAGGACTAGGCCGGATGTGGTGGTACATGCTTATAACCTCAGCACTTGGGAGGCAGAGGCGAGTTTGAAGCCAGTGTGGGCTGCAAAGTGAGCTCAAGTCCAAGAAGGGAATGAGCCAAACACTAAGGAGATTGAAGGGTGATGAACAAGCACAGGATCAAACAATGAATAATGAGTTCCTCAACGAACTGTAAGGCAGACCAGGGCTGCTGAATGGACCCTAAAGCTGGGAAGGTAACAAGTGTAAACTACTAGAAGAAAAAGATTCATAAAGACAGAAGGAAATGCCTCTGGCTCTGAATATGCTTGGTGTCACAGAGGCTTCACATTAAATACTGGTGAGATAAATAAATGAAGTTAAAATTGCAGGGGTAAGGAGCACTTGCCTTTTGACGGTCTCTTGAAAAGAACAGCATCTGAATATCCCAAGCCTTCTGGTTGAGATCTTCCATTTCCATCTCCATTTTCTTATGTTCCCACTCAATCTGATATATTCCTTTGTTCACCTCTTTACTTTCCGTCATACTAGCAACTTTCTTTTGTCCTTGAGTCTTAAGAAAGTACAGTTGTTATTCATATAATACGATTCTGCACTCAGACTTACAGGCTACTTGAAGAAGCAGCTACCTCAGCAAGCATCTGAATCACAGGGATAGTCTTCTTACTTTGGAGCAAATATTAAATGCTCCTAGGATCTCCTTTTGCCATTGGCTAATCCACCAACCTCTCTGCTTCTGAAAGCCTAACTCACAGCCCTCCCTCCTCCTGCTGTGGATGAAGGATCATCGCTCATGCAGTGAGGCACAGCATTATCTGTCTGATAGGCAGTAAAAAAAACAGGAATTAAGTATGACATTAAGAAACTGAGGTGGTGGGCACTTAACATTGGATTACCCAAATGTAATTGATGAGTATTTTTAAAAATCATTCTAAGATTACTAATAGCGAAAACATCGTGTCTTTATAATTTACATGAGAATTTCATCTGTTAACATTTTACAGACATTTAGCATTTTCTTTCCAAAATGTGGGTTTTTGAACCTTATGCTACCTTCTACTCTTTTTTTTTTTACACTTTTTTTTTTCTTTTTATTGGTACTGGGGATCAAACTCACGACCGCCTGCTTGCAAGGCAGGTGCTTATGCCCCTGAACTAAATCCCCAGCCCCTTACCTTCTACTCTTTTTAAAAAAGTTGTTAGTAAATATTTGCAGTACATATTAAATACCTTTATCGTGGGGAATTGGTACACACATATACTGCGTTTTCATACTTTTTAATTCTTCTCCTCCTATCCCATTGGCTCCCATTCCCAGCACTATTTTTACTATTTTCATCTTCTGATCTTGGCCTTCTGATCTTCTGAGCTTGGCCTCTCAATTCCATAGATTTCCTACTTTCCATGACCTTTTTCCCCAGTGTATTTCAGCCATCCAACACTCATAGTCATACCTTTGCTTTTGACATCAAAAGTTCCAAGACTAAAGTTCAAATTAAATCTCTAGAACATTCTTTCTCAACTTGGGAAATATGTTGCCCCATCAAGGGACAATATACTTTATGCTAAAAAGACAAAACCAAAAACAAATAACCTTCTGGCCCCAGACGTTAAGAGTGACAAGGTTCAGATATACTGTTTGAGAACTCTTTTGGCCTCCCTTTCAGTCAGCTGCTCTTGCAGGGCGTAGCTTCAGTCACTGTCACTACTCTTTCGTGTTATTGAGCCGTCACTGACTGAGACTACTCTAGTCAAGTCACTGACACAGACTTGGACCTATTCTCCTTGGAATGCTTCCCCCTGGCTCCCTCCTGCTTCCTTCCTAGACTCTCCTTACCTGTTCTCTGTTTGCATCCAGGCTCAAATTCCCTTTCCTTAGCTCCACCTCTAAGTGGTCTCAGACAGTCTCACAGCTTAATGATCTGTCTAGTTTCTGCGTGCAGTAATTCATACCTGACTCTGTGTATGTACACAGACAGCTCTCCTCAGCCTGCACTCCTCCTCTGCTCTTCTGTAGGGTAGTTATATACGCATCTCAGGTTAACAAAGGGTGGGGAATCTTTGCTTTGCACAAGTTTAGTGGCACACCTGGCCTCTGCACACTAGATGCCTTCCAGTTGTTTCAATCAAAAATGTCTCTAGATGTAACATAAAGTATATTGTCCCCTGATGGGGCTTCATATTTCCCCAGTTAAAAAAACAAAACAAAACATCCTTTTGCTATGTGCTGAGTCAAAGTTACAATTCCCTAGTTTTCCCCATCTCAGTTAATAACACCACCATCTGCTAGTTGTTCTACCCAAAAGTTTAGTAGTTATTTTTTTATTTCTTTCTTTGTCCTTCACATTCAACCCACTGAGTAAATGTTGCTTCCCCTATCACACGAAAAATCCAAATAAACTCCAAAATTGTGAGTGCACTGAGGTCACAAGAAACTAGGTATCCTGAAAGCTGAGAAAATAAGGATCACCCAAGAGGCAGAAGCCAGGCAGTGGCTGTCTGCTAGGAAACCGTGGAGGGAAGCCACACTTGGCACCAGTAAAGGGGGTACAAAGAATTCAGACTTTATAAAAAAAAAATTGCTGAGGCCAAATGTGAGGTAGCCTGAGAGTGCAGATTCAGAGGGGGCCAGAGACAAACTGTCCTCTGCCCCTTGCAGGCCCTGCCCTGATCGGCACTCCCATTCACCAGGAAGACAGGCAGTATTGCAGGAAGCTGCAGGAGGCGCCTGGGGAGATGGCAGCCCAGAGAGGTGCAGGGACCGAGTGAGGGAAAGGCACAAACCCGGTTAAATCCTTTTGTCATATAGAAGACAAGATTTCAGCCCTGGTAGAACAGCAGCAAATCTGTTGCTTCCAGAGCCACAACATGAATGATGCTGTCTAGAGGAAGAAGGCAAACTGGATTAAAACAAAACCTTTTCCCCCAAAGAAGATGCACAGGGGGTGGGGCAGACCTGCAAAAACTGTTAACCACGAATCGTAGATTTATAAAAATCATCCTTCAAAGGTGAACGACAGTGCCGATGGTACCCACCTGCAACTCCAGCTACTGGAGAGGCAGAGGTGGGAGAGTCACACATTTGGGGTCAGCTGAGACAACAAAGTAAGACTTCATCTCAAAAAAATAAATAAAGTAAAAAATGAAGGGCAAACTAAGACTTTATGAGATAAAAGTTAGGGAGTCCACTGCTACTATACCTGTTTTACAAGAAATGCTAAAATACTCTTTCAAGGTGAGAAGAAAAGACAGTAGAGAATAACTCAAAACTATAAGAAGAAATAAAAACACCACATGAATGATGTATCCATGTAAGTAGTGCGCATGAAGACTCATACATGACATGACATCTCAGCTCCCTGGGAGACTTAGCCAGGCAGAGGGTGGCAAATTTGAAGACAGTCTGAGCCGTCTAATGAGACTCGGTCGCAAAATAAAATTTTAAAAAAGAGACTGGAGGATAAGGAAGTAGCTCAGTGGTAGACTACTTGTCTAGCATGGGTGTGATCACTCCCAGCAGCACACACACACACACAATAACAGTTATTGTATTTGGTTTATAACTATTTTTCTAGATTTAAAAGAAAAATGTATAAAATAATAATAAGCACATAATATGAAAGCAAAATAAGCATGTACATGCACATGGTGTGCAAAGACATAACAAGGGCAGCATAAAGCCAGAGGAACACTTCATGGGAAGAGACTCTGGTATACTCCTGAAGCTAAGCTGGCGTTAATTCAGATTTACTCAAAATAACAAAGTTTGAGTGCCATTGTAATCCTCAGAAATCAATTAAAAGTTAACTGAAAATCATAGAGAAAAGAAAATGAGAAAGGGGGGATCTAAACTGCACTGTAAAACACGAGCTGCATAGGAACAAAGGCAAGAATGAAGGCTTTGAGGAACCAAAATGTATGAAATACAGAAACCAACCTCAGCATCAGAAATCAGTTTTTCATCATGTAATGTAAAGAAGTTACATTTCATGTAACTTCTTTACATGTCAATAGAGTAAGCTCCAATCGTAACAGAAAGGAGCTAGGTGCCAATAAAAAAAGGAAAAAGTGGAAGATTCCCAGTGATGTGGAAATTAAATACATTATTAAATAATAGACCAAGAAAAACACAAAAGATAAATTAGAAAACATTTTGAAATGAGCAAAGATGAAACACAAGATACCCAAGATGAGATGCACCAAAGCATAGCTTAGAGTGAATTTTTTTTAGCGGTAAATACATTAAAAAGAAGACAGATCTTGCATCAGCAATCTAACTTTATACATACAGAACTAAAAAAGGAACAAATGACAATCATACGCAGGAGAAGGGTAGATTAAGATTAGAACAGAGACGAGTGAAATAGCAAATTAAAAACCAGTAGGCAGAATCAGTGAAATAAATAATTGGTTCTTGGGGAACCAAAGAAAGTCTAAATGGGCAAATCTTTAGCTAGACTGAGGCAAAAAGACCCAAACATCTAAAATCAGAATGTGATCAGAGACATTACTACCAGTGCTCTGTAAAGGATTACACAGTGAAAATTACATACACAATACATAACTTATATCACAGTTAAGTGAGCATTTAACTCCACAGTCCCAAATTTTCTGTAACTTAGAAGTTTTTAAATTTTTATTTTATTAATACATGTTGTAGTACATAATGATTGCATTCATTGTGGAGAGTTGGAAATCTGGGGCATTAGGATTATCTGGGAATAATTTAGAATTATCTGGGGAGTTTTAACAAATACGCCTCGGAACCTTTGTGAAGTCCTTCAGGCAATTTTAATGTGCAGCTCCTGTCATGATAGGAGCCACTGATTTAAATGAACTTAAATTACTCGCCCCAACATAAGAGAACAATGTAACATTTGGCAAGCAGCATGCTGTGTTATCTTCTTCCTCTATAAAGAAAGTATAATTACCCGAATGACAGAATTCAGGTTTTCAATGATGGTCTTATTGATGAGAATTGCATCAGGGTACTGCAGAGTTTGCTGGAAATTCTCCAGTTCTACTTGTCCTTGTTTGAGAAGAATTTGTATTGTCAAATTCAGCTGGTATTTGGCTTTGTCTTCCTGTAATCTAAATGGAGAAAGACTTCAAAGCAAGTAATTGTAATATGTATATACTTCAGATTTTATCTATTATCTAAGGACATGAAATTCAAGTCAGCCTGCGCTAGGCATTAGTGTAAAGAGTGTTCCCCTGGTGGTGAGTGTCCTGAGCTCCTCTGGTGTTTCTTCGCACTGACTCGGAATTACAGTTGGATTGTTCAGAGAACAGCATGGGCAGAAACACATTCATCGGATGTCACTTAGGATCAAGCAAACATGGTATAGCTTTGATTGTCATGAAAATGAAGGAAACTGAGACTGCCAAATATAAAGATTATTAAAGTTCTGACCTAACATTGATTTCTGATACTGTATTAGCAATATCTCATTTATGCCCTATGTATCAAATCTGTTTCCGGATAATTCATATTCCTGCCTGTATCTAGATCAGAAAAACAGGGATGAAATGGGGAACATCAAAGTATTTATGCATGTGACTATAAATAGCGCCCTTTTGAAACAAGGATTTGAAAAGAGGACTCCAATCTTAATAAGGAAGAACCACGGCCTTAAAGAGACCTGTGTCGCTGGTAGGTGTCTGTGTGCAAAGCATGTGGGCGCCTGGTTGATCTTCCACATAGCTTGCACAGCTTGGGCTGCAAAGGACCTACTGCAGAAGCCGCAGTTTTAAGAAACACCGAACTTTTTCTAAGACATTTCTTTGTATTAAGAGCCACGGGAGCCGTGGCAAGCTCCATCCTGAAACAAGTGGTGCACAACGAAATGTTTTTCAAAATAGCCATTTCCAACCCAGGGCCAGGACTGAGCCTGCTGCGAATCTGCTGGGGGCCAGGTGGCTAAGAGCAGCTCTCCCTGCGAGGACGTGGCCTGCCTGGCCAGGAAGGGTAAACCTGAATGGAGTTTCCAATTACACGATGAGCTCATGGAACACTTTCTCGATCTCCTGTTGCACTTTTTCATCATCCTCCACTCTCCTCCGGAGAAAAGCCACCATCTCAGTCAAGCCAGTTGCCTTCTGCTTCACCTGAAGAAACCCGACCGGAAACATCTCAGGACATAAGGAGCTTCAGTTTTGGAAAACAGATGTCTTTAACTTTTTGAGCTACACAAATTTAGTAAGACCATGTCTCTAAGATTGAATAAAATTTTAAATTCCTGCCATTATATCGAGTGTGTAAAACGTTCATGGCACATTCATTCTGTGAAAAATGTGGAGAGCATCAAATGACTGCTTGCCAAAAAACAACTATGCATGCAACTAATATTTTTATAACTTCTTTTGAAACTTGTTCCCATCAATTTGGATGAAATTATAAATTCATAGATATGTGACGAAAAAAATGCGTGTGGCACCGAGATTAGGGAATTTGAGGAAGGGGACAGCAAATATCTAAAGAACAGGAAGGGGAGAGTCTTCCAAATAAACCTGCCTTCCCGAAGCTATGCTGTTTCTCTGTTTTAGTGAAATGGTAAAGTTGTTTCTAGTGAGCTAAATATAGCTTTAATCTATGCAAAATGAGATCATCTCTAAGAGAAAATTATTTCCTCTTGGAGAGGAATAGAATAAATAAATAGCCATAAATAAATTTTAATATTGCAGTGGTCTGGTACAAATGTGAAGTGAAATGGATAAAGTTAATTTTACTGATATATTTTATTGAACATAATAAGATTCAGAATGCTACATGTCAACCTATAATCAATATAAGAAATATTAGTGAGGCATTTTCTATTCCTTTGCTCATACTAAGTCTTCTAAATCTCTGTGCATTTTCCATTTATGACACATCTCCCTTAGGACTGACCCCATTTATTTCAATGCACAGTGACCACATGTCTCTATTCTGTACAGTGTGGGTGTACAAGCACAGGCCTGCACTGTGTAGCATCCAAGTTAATGCTTTATTTTGTTATTTTATTATTGACATTACTAGCTACCTTAGCACACAAGCCTCAATAGTTATGATGCACTGACCAAGGTAATTATGTATTGGATATTAGTACACAAAAAATAAAATAAAATTTTAAAAACGACTTTATGTACTTTGTATTCATTTTCCACTTTTGCTCGTCTAGTTACGCAGAAGTGATCCCAGACCGCGGGGTCCAAGCCTTCAGGCATGTTGTTAATATTATCCAACTCATCCATGGCTTTCATTAGCTGGGCAAAGGTGTCCTTACTCAACTTGCCAGCTCCTGCTGGCTCTCGAAACGGGACAATACTCTCCATTTCTGATTGCGTTTTCTGTTTCTGCATTCTGGTAATATCAAGAAAATCCCATTAACATTTCATATTCTTAAAAACATTAGGGTTAAATACCAAGCCCCTTGATATAGGCATAACACACTGTACAGCAATTCCCTTCAGCACCTGGATGCTGGCAGGTGGATTATTCCAAAGAGCGAAGCACCCAATTTGTCCTTCTTCCACCCATGTTAGGTCCCCAGTCAGGACCCTTGACTGGACTACAGACATCCCTTACTACCGTCAGCACTGGCCACATTGCCTGCCTAGGAGCTTCGTGTGTTGTAAGCAGGTAGTAAACACCCCGGGGCGAGGCAGAGGTGTTAATTCCCTAGGTCCATCTGTACATCCTCTGCTGGTACTTGTTTTGCAGTAGGATATGCCTAGGTGTGTTTAGGATTGGAGAAGCCATTTCTTTCTCATTCACATTAAAAGACTGACTTTGTTTTCCTGAGCTATAGCTGGGAAGGGGCGCTCAATGTGGAGCTGCCGCTGTTCCCTGCATGGTGAGGTTAGCACTGCTACCCTGGGCAGGACCCGCAGGGAAGAGCTGTGCCCCCAGTGGTGAGAGATGGTGGTGTTAGGGTTTACAGGTAGTTCCGTTTGACAAGGTTGTGTCTTCCTCCCTGCTGCCTCCCAATATGCAGACAGACTCACTTCTTTTTTCTCAAGTGAAAGCTGTGCCTATTAGTTTACATCACTGCTGCTTTAAAAACAAAGACACTGAGACCTGAGGCAGAGGCTCAGTTCCTTAGGTTGCATGAAACTTGTCAAAGGTTGGAAAAAGTTTTATCCAGGACACACACTCACCTATTCCTTTGTGACAAACTATAATTTCTAGATTATATTTGATTAAAAATATGAATTTATAATGTTAGGAATCTGCACAATATAATTCTGATACTGCTCTGTCTAAAAAAAGGTTTTTTTAGAATATAATTTTAGAACTCTTGATGATTGTTATTTTCAAGTATTTATACTGGCATTTTTCAAACTGTTTCAAGCACAATAGCATGAGACATTCTAAAGAGAGGCAATTTATGCTCAAGTAAGTTTTGAAAACACTCTTACTCTGTTTCTCACACTTGGAGATTCAAAGGCCAAAAACAAGTTCCAAGACGCTGTCTTAAGTGTTCGTCTTAGTTACTTTTCTCATTGCTAGGACAAAATACCCAGCTTTCAGCCCATAATTGGCTGGCTCCAAAGCAGTGTGGCACATAGCAGATAAAAGTTCATGGTACCCGCAAGGCAACAAAAGCACCAAGTGAAAGATAAAGACTCTTCCTGCTCCTTATACTGTATGCAGGGTGAGTGCAGCACTCACTCCCCTAATTGTAGCTAGACTGTGCCAAACCAGCAGACTGATTTGCTAATCACACACCCTTAATCCTAACATCTCACACTCTAGATTCAGCCACCTCTGAAAGCCCTATAAATGCATGAGGGTTTCGGGATGAGGAGGGTGCTCTAGACACAAACCATAACAATAACGCTGTTTAACTTTTTTTTTTTTCAACCCAGTATTTCTCCAAACGTATTTTCCCTTGGAAACTTTTACATATAAATCCAACTCATGCCACAAGGGACTCGTATTTGTTAGAACACATTTTGAGAAAAATTTTATGCATTTCTATGCCATCTATGACTTAAGAGGAACTAGTATCAAATAAATAGAAACCATAGTAGCACTATGCAAGATGCTCAAGCATTTTTCAGAATGATAAACTGACATTTCATACCCTATCTTAAGATACAGACAAAAGTTTTAAAAAATACTGAATTACAATCAAGGCAAACATCTTTGCCAGAAAGACGTCATACATAAATTGAAAGCAGAAAGATATCACACATAGATTTCTATCTAACTGGGTAGAAAGTGAAACCTTATTCTTCATTTAAAGACTCTTTTCTTAGAAACATAATAGAAAAGCAAAAATAAACCTTGGCCGGCGTTTAAAAAGTTTATAGAGTACATCCACTTGTTGACTTGGAATTTCGGGAAATTCCTTTTTGAAGCTTCGGTCCAGAACCTAAGAATAAACACATTAATGCCAGGATCACAACTTTGCTCAGAGACAATATTCTTCAAGACAGGGATTGTGCCACTTTAATTTAAAAAAAAAACATGAAAACATGTTTATTAAGTTGTGAGAGGGAGACTATTCATGGTGTAAGGACTCCTCCAAGATGTATTTTGAATAGCAAGTACCTACTATAGTAAAAATGTTATTCCATATAGGAGGTCTTGAAAATCATCCAGAAGTTTCTCCAAATAGTATTTACTCTTTAAAAAATGCAAGTTAGTCTATTTTCTCCCATTCTTCTCCATTCCATTAAATTCCATCTCTTTCTAGCCCTCCGTTTCTGTCTTCTTTATGGGATTCCATTCTATTCTTTTCCATCCAAACCCACTGGCCATACTTAGTAAACTGATTTCATGACCACAAAATTTTCAGAAACATACAGTGGCACAGAAAGACATTGACTCATAGCTGAGAATTGTAGTAGGAAAGAGATCTATGAGAAAAGTAAGATATGTCCCCTCAGCCTTCTCCCCAGTCCCGAGAGCGACCACTTGACCACACCGTCCAGAAGGGGAGACAATGACTCACTTTGTCTTCTGCCAGTAAGTTGTCATAGTTCTCCTTATACATATCGAGGTCTTCTCTAGATTTACGGATTGCTTCTGAAGTCTGGCTCTATAATAATGGCAGAAATAATTCACTATACTGGAGACTTAGGACAAACAAAAATAGGGGCTTCTAAGCAGAAAGGGCTTCCTGGTACAAGCTAAATGTGCCCATGGAGCATGCATTACAGGTAAACATCCACAGAAGGAAGCACACTGGAGACTTGGGAAGGACAAGGGTCTGACCGCCAGCCAGCTCTGTGTGAGTGTCTGTGTCTGAGAGCACCCTGCACTCCTGCCCAGAAGTATGGGTGAGGGAAGGGCATGGCCTTGGGAATTGCATGGCTCCACCTGTGTTCAGAGGAACTGAAGTAAGTGTGGTGAGTAGCTGCACTGCCTATGAAAACATCTAGGATTCACAGCCTCTGCAGCAGCCAGCTGGAATCTGGACGACAGCTTTTGCTACAACCGCCCATCAATTGTCCAGACTGGGCAATCGTTGCTTCTCCAATTCTAATTTTTGTTCCCCTTTCTGACTTAGGACTATCCTCAGAAGGCCAAATATGTCCTCCAAAGGTTGTCCATGTCAGCTGATTCCCTTCAGAGTGTACCTCCTTCTCTCTGTAAGGCCTACCACCCCCTACCTGCCTGAGTCTTCCCACACCCTGCCAAGCTCGGAATAAACAGCCTCTGCATATTTTCTTTTGGGCGGTCTTCGTCTTTCTCCCTGCCCAATTCCTGCTCCGTGACCTAGTGGTGACTATGTGTGCTCTCCAGTCTCTGTAGGGGGAGTCTCATCTGTGACGGAAGTACAGTGCCTGGCCGGGTTGTTATGAGGAGGGGTGTACCCAGAAGTTCTTTGCCTGTGTCACTTAAGAGACTCTTGGAAAAAATAAAGTAGTTATGTCATTTATGGTACTTTAAGTCATGCATGAATAAATGTTCTTTTCGGTAAATAAAAGTAATAAAAACTGACATATATTAAAGCATATTATATAAGTTTTAAATAACTGTACCTATTAATGTTTATATTTAGATAGTTTTGTTTAGAACATGACAATTTTTCATTCTACAAGCTAACCTTTGCTTCCATGTTCAGTAGAATTTAGGAGTTCCAAATTGTCCAGAGGAAACTATATTCTCTAAAGAATGGCCTGGAAGCAGCTGCAGAGATTCTGTACCTTGTTCAGCATTCTACCCACAGTCAGTCATGGTTAAAAACCCATGTTTTTGGCAAGGTAGCTAGGAGGCTTCGTTTTATAAACCACAAGTCATAGGAAAGCGACAGTTTCACAGTTGATTTGTTGTGTGGTACTAAGGACTGAGCCCAGGGAGGGCTAAGAGATGCTTACAGCTCCCCCCCAACTTTTTTTTTAACAATCTAATTTTGAAACAGGGTGCTGCTGTTGCCCAGATTGCCCTTGAACCTGTGGTCCTCCTGTCTCAGCCTCCCTAGCAGCTAGGATTTCAGGCATGACCACCACACCTGGCTATGCAATTCTGTAGCCTAATGAGTGCAGACACAGAATCACATGATTTTGTTTCTGGGTGGGGAATGGGTATTTCCCAGCCCTGGAGCAAAATCATAGAGAGGGAGCCAAGGGAGGCCTACGGCCGCACAGGGGTGGCAGAAGGAGGGAAGGACCCAACTGCAGATGTACTTGCTAAATGTGAACACCCCAGGAAAACTGCAGGAAAACCCCAGGAATCAGACGTCAGGCACTACACCCACCTTCTCCTCCTGCTTCTTCACAAGATAGTTGTTCAGAAATGTTTCTCTGGAGTTTAATTCTTCATCCAATAGCAAAGAAAAAACAAGGTTATTTATTTTCAATTCTTCCTGTAGAAACAGGAGAGATGAGATGATCAATGTTCCTATCTGAGAAAGGACTTTCTATCTATGATCATAGACTTGATGCTAATCAATAAATTTATGGTGTACAAATAAAATGTTATGGCTTGTGTCTACACATTCCCCCAAAGCCTCGTGAATTTATAGGTGAGCATTTGAGAGGTGACCGGATCAAGCATGTGTTATACTGGGATTAAGTGTTGTGTGATAACTAACTCAGCCTTCTGATGGGTTTAGCATAGCTCTGGGTATGGATGATAGAAGCCCCACCCTGGGTGTGGGCAAAGCCACCCAAAAGGCTTGCAGGATGGATGGGATGAAAGTGAGGCTTGCCCTGCTTATGGCCTCTTGGGTGCTCTGCTATGGACTGTTTGCTCTTACCACCTGCCATACCACCCTGCCGTAGAGCAACCAACTGGGGACCAAAACCTCTAAAATGATCCTTTCTTCCTCTAATTTGTGGGTGTTGGGTATTTTGTCTCAACAATGAGAAAAGTAGTGAAGATATAAGAGAAATCTGTTTTTTGGAGGTGGGACAGAGGATTGAATTCAGGGCTTCACACAGGCTATGCAAGCCCTCTACCATTGAGCTATGCCCCCAGCCCAAGAAAAATGCTTTAATGAAAAGGTGAATAGAGACAGCTGCTATAATTGTTGGGTTATTGTCATTTCATTTTAAGTTAAAGCACATATCCAGAAAAGCAAATAACGTGAATATATGAGTTCATAAATTATTATAAAGGCCATCAGCCTTGCCATCACCACCCAGTTCAAGCAATAGAACTCTTCCTCTAGAGCCGCTCCTTTCATTTGTCCCCATCAACCCTCAACCCCACAGTCTTAACTCTTACAATGACAATTTCCTGTTTCTCTGTGCCCCAGTGTGCATGCATACCAGGCACCACAGTGCAGCTTGCCTGTGGAACCTGTGTTGTCACACTTCTGTCTCTCTGTGATCTTCTTGTCACTTATCCTTGCTCCCCCATCCCAGCTGATTTATAGAAATAGTAATCTCTGCTGTTTTGCCCTCCCTGGGTTATATCAACTCATAATCATAGTGTGCTTCATCAGGCTCCTTCATCTTTCATTTTGCCTAAAATTGGCCGCTGGAGCCAGAGGATTGCGTAGACCTGGTCTGCCCCTCTGGGGGTCTGTTCCATGTGCTCTTTGATCAGGGCAAAGGAATATCTAGCTGTCTTTCTCTGACATCTGCTCACCGATTACAGTGTGTAATTCAATGGGCTTTTGTTATACACAGAGTTGTGGAACTACTGCCACAAACACTTTCACAAAACTTTGTCACCACAAAAAACAAAACGAAAAAACCCTTTAGTAGTCATTTCCCATTTTCCTGGCACTTCCCAAAGCGTCTTCCCGGCGGGAAGAGGAAGTGTGGCGACCAAAGGAAGGGCACAATACGACTCCTGGGACCTGCACCCAAGGGAGGTTGCTGGTCATTATGCAGGAACCATGGCAGCCCCTGGAGTTACCCTGAAAGAACAGGTCACACTAGGAACTGCTGTTTACCTGGTTGACAACCATCTCTGCCTTCACTCTCCTTTCAAAGAGTCTTTTCAGATATTCGTCAAAGTTCTGTGTGCTTTCTTGAATAGTGTTTTGAAGTTTCTTCAATTCTGCTTCCAAGGACTGAAATGAAGGTCAATATTCAGGAATATTAAAAGAGAGGGTGAAGCTGGAATTTGCATTTTGCCACAAGGATGGGACAGTGGGAAGGTAGACCTCGTTGGTGTTGAGATTCAGAGACGTCCCACTTGGATTTGTCTACGGTAGTATGCGTCTGAGAGTTTTGCTTTTAAAAGTTACACTGAATGCCAGGCATCGTCACGCCTGTAATCCCATTCCTTGGGAGGCTGAGGCAGGAGGATCACCATGAGTTTGAGGCCAGCCTGGGCTACATACTGAGACCCTGTCTCAAAAAGATTACATTGAAAAAAAGGAGTTAAAAGTCACTAACCATGGCAAATGAAGCAGCCAGTAGTACAACCAGTAAAACAAATCATAGCAAATCTTGCCAGGAAATTCTGACTATGTGGCATAGCAATTTCCAGACACACAAATTGGCTCTTAAAAAATCCTACATTTTATTTCAAGCTCTGGATACTTTTTCATGGAATTTATATTATACACTTTTATATTTAATTTGTGTGTGTGGTATTGGGGATTGAACAAGGGCCTTCTCACAGACCTACAGCCTTTTCCCTTTTCTTTTGAGACAAGATCTCACTAAGTGACCACGTTGTCCAGGTAGTGTTTGAACTTGGGATTCTTTCCATCTCAGGTAAGAGCAGAGTGTGCGGAACACAAATACACACCGCCACATCCAGCTGGAGTTTTTTTTGTTAGTAAAAGTTCATCCAGAGCTAGGGAGGAAGGTGGAAGAATGAAGGGAAACAAGACCGGCCGTGAGTAAGTAAATAACTGTTGAAACTGGACAAGGCAGTTGTTTCACTACTCTGCACAACCTTTTCTTTGTTTTTTTGAGACAGGGTCTCACTGTGTGGTTGAGGCCAGCTCTGACCAGCCCTGTGCAGTCCAGACTGACCCTAAACGCATTAACCCACTGCTTCTCTAGTGTTGGCGTGACAGGTGCGCACTACCACCACAGCGGGCTCCATTCTCCATTCTCTTTTATATATGTTTGGCATTTTTCTTTTCTTTTTTTTTTTTATTTAAGGAGAAGAGAAAAGAAAGAAAAAAAAACAGTGAAGGGGTACAAGTTATACAGATTTACAGAATAAAAAATGCGCAGTAGGAAATCACTAGTTAATGGATTACATATTGCCATCTTAGAAATAATTGTTCAAGTCACAAAATTAAAGCTTGTAGAGTGGACATTCCAACAATGGTACTGCAAACAGTTCTGTTCAATGATCCAATAAAACTCTGTGATATCATTTTCTATCTTATACATTTAAATATACATGCAGTTATATAGTTTAGAGCACTTTCTTTTCCTCTCTTTTGTACAGTGACTATTACACATTTTGGGTTTCATTGCTCCCACAGTTCTTATTGCTTTTTTTGGAAGAGAGTAAAACCAAATGTGACATAACAGAACAGAATCGGTCAAGTCAAAAGGGTGGACATAATAGATAATATAAAAACATAATACAAGGTGATCAACAATGGTTACCATAATGCCTCCCGCTATTTCTAATAGAATTGCCTATACCATTAGTTGTACTACAATTGAACAAAACCGTAAAGAATAAAACCGACAAAACCAAAACATTGGACATATTGTAGGTCTTTTTTTTTTTTTTTTTTTTTATTTAAGAGGAAAAAGAGAAAAACACAAAACAAACCAAAGCGGCGTAAGGGTACACGCAATACAGAACTACAAAACAAAACAAAACAAAAAACCATAACAGTAAGAAATTACCTGCTAGTAGATTACACACTATTTTCTTGAAAATAGTTCCTCAAATCACAGTATCAAAGAACACAAGGTGGACATTCAAACAGGGAGACTGCAAACAGCTGTGTTCAATGTTCCAAAAACATTGATAAAGTCAGCTATTTAACACCCCCAAACACACTTGCTGTTATATCCGTTAGAGCTCTTTTTCTTTTTTCTTTTTTTTTCCCTCTATTTTTTACAACAAAATTTACACATCTTGGATTTTATTACTCCTTAGTGCTTATTACTTTCTTTGGGGGGGGGAGAATACAGTCAAATATGGCAAAACAAAGCTGTCAGTCAATACCAAGGATAGACATAGCACATGGTGTAGAACAGAGTACAAGTTTATCAACAATGGTTATCAACGTTGTCCCTTGTTTCCTTAAAAAGAATTGTCTATCTTATTAGATATTATAAAGTTGGACAAAACAGTAGAGAACAAGACCAATAAAACTTAGGCATTGTAAACATTACAGGACTTCCAAAGAAGACAATAGTCAAACCAGAATGGGTATCTTAGTGAATCTTACTGTCTTCAAAGTAGTTGCCTATGTCTTCAAACTTGATACTATCATAGAGAATGGAACAGAGTCTAATCAGTCAAAACAAGATCGTGGGAGTACTACAGGACTTCAAAACAAGTTAATAGGAAATCGAAAAGAGTTACTATTTATATATCCTAATTTTTTTGAATTTTTTCTTTAATTAAGACAAACATAAGAAATGACTAAATAATTTTTTTTGAAACAATAAGGGGGAGATTGAGATAAAACAGGACATAACAATATAACAATAGAGGTCACAGCATGACTGTTTCAATAACCTAGTACTTCACCACCTTATAACCTGACTTAATAGTAGTTACCATAGTGTCTTTTTCCTTGAAATATTTGGGTAAAACTTCATATACTCTAGCTTCAAATATTTTCATATCAAGAAGCCCAGAATAAAGCCTTTCTAATTAATGAGTGAAAACTTTATAAGGCTTCAAGGCCACCTAATGGGGAATCATGATTACCACATATTTTTATATATTTGAATCATTACTTATATTAGGGAAACTATTCGGTATTCACACATGCGAGATTGATTTATTTCACTTATGAGTATGGTCTCAAGCTGTGCCCATTTATTGATAAATATCTCAATGTGATCCTTCTTTATAGCTGAATAATACTCCATTGTATAGAAATACCACAACTTTTTTATCCATTCCTCAGTTGATGGGCACTTGGGTTGTTTCCAAGTTCTGGCGATTACAAATTGTGCTGCTATAAACATAGGTGCACATATATCACTGTGGTATGATGCTTTCAGTTCTTCTGGGAATATGCCTAGAAGTGGAATAGCTGGAATAAATGGGATTTCCAGTCCCAACTTTTTGAGAAATCTCCAGACAGATCTCCACAAAGGCTGTACCAGTCTACACTCCCACCAGCAGTGCAGGAGAGTTCCTTTTTCCCCACAGCCTCTCCAGCATTTGTTGTCGGTTTTCTTGATCCTGGCCATTCTTTCAGGAGTGAGATGGTATCTCAGTGTGGTTTTAATTTGCATTTCTCTAATGACCAATGATGATGAGCATTTTTTCATGTATTTATTTGCCATTTGCATTTCTTCATCTGAGAATTGCATATTCATCTCAGATGCCCATTTTTGGATTGGATCTTTGAATTTCGGAGGTCTGAGTTTCTTTAATTCTTTGTATGTTTTAGACAAGAGGCCCTTGTCTGAGAGAGAGTTCACTAAAATCTTTTCCCAGTTTGTGGGTTTTCTTTTCACTATGCTGGAGATTTCTTTTGACATGCAGAAACTTTTTAATAAGAAGTGGTCCCAGTTATTGATTCTGGGAAGTATTTCCCGTGCGGTTTGAGTCCTGTTCATGAATTCTTTACCTACTCCTATGTCTCCAAGGTTTCTACCTATTTTGTCTTCCAATAGATTTAGTGTTTCTGTTTTAATATTCAGATCTTTGACCCATTTAGATTTTAATTTAGTACATGGTGATAGACATGGGTCTAGCTTTAGTTTTCGGCAAATGGAGAGCCAGTTTTTCCAGCACCATTTATTAAAGAGACTGTCGTTCTTCCAGTGAACCTGCTTGGCTCCTTTATCAAAAATAAGGTGGTTGAGTGTGTTTGTAGTTGTGGTTGTATGTTTTAATCTATTCCACTGATCTTCAGCTCTGTTTTGATTCCAATACCATGTTGATTTTACTACTGTTGCTTTGTAGTATAACTTCAAGTCAGGGATTGTGATGCCTCCTGCTTTGTCTTTGCTGCTTAGAATTGCCTTTGCGATTCTAGGTCTCTTCTGGTTCCAGATGAAATTTAGGAGTGATTTCTCTAGATCTATAAGGTATGTTGATGGTATTTCCATTGGGATTGCATTGAATCTGTATAACAGTTTTGGGAGAATGGCCATTTTCACAATGTTTGTTCTTCCTATCCATGAGCAAGGGATGTCTTTCCATTTTCTGAGATCATCTTCAATTTCCTTTTTCAGTGTATTATAATTTTCACTGTATAAGTCTTTCACTTCTTTCGTAAGAGTAATTCCTAAATATTTCATTTTTTTGCTTGCTAATGTGAATAGTCCAGTTTCTCTTATTTCCCTCTCTGTAATTTTGTTGTTCGTGTATAGGAATGCTATTGATTTCTGAGTATTGATTTTGTATCCAGCCACATTACTGAATTTATTTATTGTATCTAAGAGTATTTCAATGGAGTTTAGGGGGTCTTCTATGTAGAGTATCATGTCATCTGCAAACAATGATAATTTAACTTCTTCTTTTCCTATCTTTACCCCTTTTATTTCTCTTTCTTGCCTAATTGCTCTGGCTAGTACTTCCAGTACTATATTAAATAGGAGTGGTGATAAAGGACATCCTTGTCTTGTACCCGATTTTAAAGTAAAGGCTTTCAATTTTTGGCCATTTAGTATGATGCTGGCTGTTGGTTTGTCATAAATGGCCTTTATTATATTGAGGTAAAGACCATTTATTCCAATTTTCTGTAAAGTTCTTATCATGAATAAGTGTTGGACCTTATCGAAGGCTTTTTCTGCATCTATAGAGATGATCATGTGATTCTTATTTTTGGCTTTATTGATATGGTGGATTACATTTATTGATTTGCGTATGTTGAACCATCCTTGCATTCCTGGGATGAATCCCACCTGGTCATGGTGTATAATCTTCTTGATGATTTGCTGGATCCTATTTGCC